AGAGAGAGAGAGAGAGAGAGAGAGAGAGAGAGAGAGAGAGAGAGAGAGAGAGAGAGAGAGAGAGAGCAAGGAGGAGAAATTGGGGGAACGGGGGGTGGAAAACTGTTTGGTCGGAGTTCCATGGACTCGTCATATGTCACAATATATATATCTTTTCACATGCGTGCTAATAAAGAGTTACTTAAGAAAAATACCTTGTGTTGTCAGTTGGCTGCAGCCCCATATCTTTTTTCTCAGGTAAACTGCTACTGAACACATTTTCTATGTTGTCATTTGTTTTTTGTAAATATGATAAAATATTGATCAAGTACTAAATACTAAATACTAAATAGTGATTAGGTACTCGTTTTTTGTGCCAGCTTTTTCCTTGTACTTTATGTGTGCGTGCGTATTTGACTCTCTTTCTGTTGTGCTTGCCTCTCTGCTCACCGTCTGCTGCATAGGGCTGAGAACGATCGAAGAGTGAATGAGGCGCTGGTAGCAGTCGGCGAAGGCTTGCGTTTGAAGGCTGATAAGGAAATGGATAAGTTGGATCTTCCAGTGAAGGAATCAGAGATTGACAGACAGTGTAGTCTGGTCACGAAGGAGGCACTCAACACGTATGCACGTTGGAACTTTGTCTTTTGCTGGCAGTACAGTGTTGTTGAAGTTCCTTCACCATAGTAAAAGTCTTAAAGTCGTAATAACAACTCCTGCAAGGGAAATGAGCAATAGCGAGATGACAATGTCCAGAATGCACGATCACATTGAAGGCCAGATGGTATCACAGTGTCCAGAAAGCAGAAATGCACCAATATAACACTAATGAAGAATCGCAACACTGAAAACCAATGTCAATGAGAGCTTGCTCTCGCCACCTCCAACATGAGTGTCCAGGCCCTATCTCCCTACTTGGCGCTCGGCGCCCAGCCTACTTCCTACACAGCTACAGTCTGCCTACTAATTGACAATGCAACGTTGACGTCAGCAGCTCACGAAGTACTTGAAGATGTCACCCGATGCAGACCATCGCCAATACCAGGTATGCGCCCTCACGTCATCATCATCATCATCCTTCTCTGTCTCCCCTGACTTACTCCCACGTCTTCCCTCTGTACACCCGAAGACCACCCCTGTGCCTCACTGTTGTCCAAGCCCATCCAGCTATGGAGGCTGGGCTATGGCACTGCCCTCAGCAGCGCCCTACTTCCTGCACGACCGCACGCAGTAGCACCTTGGCTCTCAACGCAGCAGCAGCCTACGAGTGTCTGCTCCAGCAGCGCTGCCGCCAGCATGCAAGTGCTGAATGCTTGGCCAGGCAGCGTGGCTGTGCATCCAATGCTGCTGCTGGGCCTCCGTTCAGTTGGGCCTCCCAACTGTCTGTGTATGAGGCTGCGATTCTCGTCCAGGGCCTGCATTTTTGGAAAGGCCTGGAAGGCCATGGAATGTCTTGCTGCTCGGCCTGTGTTTTCCCTCAACCAATTGGCGCGTCGAAACTGCCTGGACCCCAAATACGAAATTGACAGCTGAGGGCCTCTCGTGATTTGTTAGGCCCGCCTTCACTTAGGGCGGGCACATCTGCAGCAGGGGCCCCTTAGGCCTGCCGAGGACCCAGATCCTCGCATACCCTCCTCCTTTTCTTCGATAGTCCTCTGAGAAGTCTTCTAATCTGCAGGCATCTTCCCCTTGGATTCTCTTTCATAGCCTGCAGTAACTTGAGGTGCTGTTCGCATCAGTTCTTCTCCGGTGAACCACCGATCCTTGCTGGGATCCAGATGATGTCTGAATCTGACACAGTATTGCATTCTTGGCTTAGGAGGGCGGCCTCTGCCCGGCAGCTTAGGCACTGGCATCACTCGATGCTCCACAATTCCGTCGATGTCAACTTCACCATCCATGGTTGGGGGCAGCATTGACCGTCTGGAAGGGAAGTGTGCAGTTTCTACGAAAGGTGCCAGCTTTGAGGCGTGAAAAACTGGGTGTGTGCGTAAGTGAGGTGGGATGTGAATCACATAGAAGGTCCATCTATCTGATCCCTAACTATGTCTAGGACCTCCCAAGGACCAAAGTACTGAGGCATCAGTTTACGAGATATGCCCAGCTCTTGACCCAGTTCATATGATTTGACCCAGACTCTATCACCTAGCTGAAAGTCAGAGGGCCGCCTATGCTTATTCTCAAATGCAATCATAGCATCCTGAGATTTCCTAATATGCTCGATGGCCTGCTGCAGCATCTGCTCGTACGGGACAACAAACTCTATGCTGCCAGGTGCTGCAGTGGGCTGTCTTTCTGGTTGCGGACAGTCAAGTGTCGTTCTGGGCTTCCAACCAAGGCGCAGTTGGTTGGGAGTCATACCAGTAGTACTGTGCACATCATTGTTGCACAGGCTGGCGACGAGAGGTAACTTCTCGTCCCAATCATCCTGACTTGGCTTAATATAATGCCAAAGCAGGTGTTGTACTACTCGGTTCATCTGTTTTGCCTGGCCATTGGACTCAGGGTGATTCCCTGACGTCATTTGTAGCTTGGTGCCCATCTGCTCAACTGTTGACTGCCACAACTCGCTGGTAAATCTTACATCCCTATCACTCACTATCGACGTAGGGAGTCCAAAATCCCGAACCCAGTTATCCAAAAACAGTTTGATGATATATTCCGTTTTAGCAGTCTCTGGCATAGCGATAATTCTTGCATACTTGGAAAAGCGGTCTACTATAACGAAGATATGTCCCTTGCCTGTCCTGCTGGTCACAAGAGTATCCATGAAGTCCATGGACACACTCTGACCAAGACCTTCAGGAATTGTCAAGGGTTTGAGAAGCCCCAACGGAGCCTTAGTCCTAGGTTTGTCTCGTTGACAAACTTGGCAGGTTTCTACGTACCTTTTAGCATCCTGCATCATAGAGGGCCACCAAAATCTCTGCACTAAGTTAGCTGAAGTCTTCTTATAACCAAAATGACCAGTTGCATCATGACATTCTCCTAAAAATAAACTACGCAAAGACTCTCTATTCGGAACACACTGTCTTTTATTCCCTGCCTTCGCAAGAAACAGTAAGCCATTTACCATTGTAAATTCATCGGAGGTTACGTTATCCTTCACTTGAAATCTACGAATGATCTCAGACATGACTGGATCTTGCTGATAGGCTTCCACCAAGGATCGAGTTACATTGTCTGATATAACAAACTCGGTCACTAGTGCGCCCAGATAATCTGCCCTTCGCGATAGTGCATCAGCCACTTTGTTGTACTCTCCCTCGATTGGATCAAGTTGATAGTCATACATGTCTATCACTTGAATCCACCGCTTAAGTGCGTCAGAGAGTACAGGTTGTGTCTTGATCCAACGCAAGGTCTCATGGTCAGATCTCAAGTAGAAGAATTTGCCTAGGAGATATTGTCTCCAATGGACCAGCGCTCTGTAGAGGGCATAGAGCTCACACTCATATGTGGACTTTGCTAGCTTTTGAGACGCATCTTCTACTCATATAGTCGATGGGTCTCAACTTTGGCCCCTCCTTTTGCGCAAGGACCGCGCCTATGCCATATTGACTGGCGTTTGTGGTCAAGATAAATGGTTTATAAAGATATGGAAGTTTGAGGACTTCGTAGTGTGTCAGAGCATACTTCAGTTTCTTGAAGCTTGCTTCACACTCTTCAGTCCACTCCCAAGGGGTGTCAAGTCGAGTTAGATCTATTAATGGGGAAGTTATAGTACTATAGTTTTTAACAAACGGACGATAGTAGCCCGTCATCCCCAAAAACGATCGGACCTCAGTTACAGTCCGAGGTCTGGGCCAGTCCCGTATGCTGGCCACTTTGGCATCGTCCGGCCTCAACCCATCCATGGAGATTTCATGACCCAAGTACAAGATCTTGGTGCGACCGAACTTGCATTTCTCCAAGTTTACCTTGTACAGGTGTTGTCTTAGGAGACCCAACACTATTTTCAAGTGCTCAGCGTGCTCCTCTACAGTCTTACTAAATATAAGGATATCGTCGAGGTACACGCCGATAAACTTGTCTAAGTACTCGTGAAATATCCTATTCATGGCGTGCTAGAATAACCCAGGGGCATTGCATAGGCCAAAGGGCAGCACCACAAACTCGTACAGACCGTACCTTGTCTGAAAAGCGGTTTTGTGATGGTCCTCATGTCTAATGGCAATTTGATGGCATCCGGACTTTAGGTCTATCTTAGTGAAGTACTGACATCCTAGCACTCTATCCAATAGGTCGTCGATGCGGGGTAGGGGCTCTGCGTTCATAACAGTGATGGCATTGAGGCCCCTATAGTCAATGCACATCCTTAAGGTACCTCCCTTCCTAGGGACAAATAAGACTAGCGCACCGTAAGGGGAGGTACTAGGCCGAATCCATCCCTTTTTTGTGAGCTCCTTGAGCTGGCGGCGGAGCGCATCCAACTCCGCGGGAGACGTCCTATAGATTCGTCCTCTAGGCACCTTATTACATGGGACAACCTCTATCGCATGGACCACCTCCTTTTCCACCACGCATGTGGGCTCCTCAAAAGGGTCGAAATATTGCGCGACGACTGATTCTATCTCTGGGGGTGATCTTATGGCCTCCCCTTTTTCAGAGACAAAGACTACATACATGTTTTCCTCGCGGTTCTGCTTATAGTAGTTATAGAAGGATGTTGCGCACATGCACCCGAAGTTTTCCACTAGACTGCTACCTTTAAACGTCTGCAATCTAACGGTTCTACCGTTCGGCAGCTTGTGGATCATCACCTTTCTATCCCAATCGAACTGAGGTTGAGCGACCTCGAGGTAGTACATACCTAGCAACGTGTCAAACAACAGTTCGTCGCTAGCGAGGAATGAGATTTTGTATCTCACTTCCCCTCCTCCATAAAAGGAGGATCAGACTACGTCCGTGACATAGTCTTTAACTACCATTTGGTGCTTGTTGGCTAGCGTGGAAGCTACAGTTCTGCTAAGTCGCTGCACTTGGTCCCCTAAGCGCAGTCTGTCCACACAAGCACGATCGATGAAATTCCGCTTAGAGCCTATGTCTACGAAGGCACCCACTTTGCGGCCACCTACATCAACCTCTACCACGAAATGTTCACTCCTAGGACCTTTACTGATCATCGCCCAAGAGCCTCTGGGGTCCTTCCCTTACCACTCAGTTTGAAGCTCTTCTAGGGACTCAGACACATCTCTCGAACAGAGCATTGGTGGGTCTGAATGTGTCTGCGGGGCGATGGATGGGTCACTAGCCTTGGCCAACGCTTGAAGTGGGGAAGGCAACGTTACCACTTTAGCACGAGTAAGAGTGGCTAACACTCCTACTGGCCCAAGGTGTTTCCCTGCGAAGTACTCGCAGAAGTACTACCCGAGCTCGAGGCTAAGCCCACCACTGTCGACGAGATTACCTTCGTAGTGACTTTTTTGCCTCGGCATGTTCTAGACGCGTGGCCATAATTGCCACAGTTCATGCACGTGCCCTTAGCAACTCGGTCTCGCCACACCTCATAATCTAAACCAAGTTTTACCCAGGCGGGTGTCCCTTGGTCGCCCTGACCCTTGGACCGGCCTACCTTCTGCTTCCCGGTCCCCCAAGTCTTTTCCTTGATATGTGCCACGAC